GGCAGGAAGAACCTTCCAGTACCTCTCAGACATGCACATGTCTGGGTGTTCAAGCCCCTGGCATCTCCTCTTCTTCTTATAATCCTCTTGCCCTCAGGATACCTGTCTTTGCATGTAGGCCTCCAGAATGGTGGAGAGAGGGGAGGGAGACTCTTACCTAAGGCCCAGTCTGCTTCTGTGAAGTATTCTGTGAAAGACTGAGGTGGGGTGGTGGGACTTTAATGTTTGAAAAGATTTGGGCACCATTTTAGATTTTACTGTGCTGTGTACTCCTTTTTTCTCCACAGATGATTGAAAGGTTTATTTCTTCCTGCTATGAAGGTGAAATGGAAAATTCACCCATCTTTACTACCAGGCTGTCTGCCAGGGGAAGAAGGTCCAAGGAGAAGTGTGAAGTGGTGAAGCGACAGAAACCACAAACTACAGTCAGTCTATAATGTTTCTGAAATTGGGACTGATCCCTTCTAAAAGGGCAACGGCCTCTATGACATTCACCCCATGAAGGGTGCAGTTGCCCGGGAATACCTACCCGCCTCCCACCACCAGGAGAGGGGACAAGTTTAGGAGGTGACACTCATACCTGGCAAGAGGTTACACTACCCTTGAAGTCTTCCTTTTCTAATATCTGTCTTATCTGCTTTAACAGGCCTCATCTCTCGCTGGCAACAATTCTCTCTCTTTTAAGTCAAACTACGAAGGAGAAAGGTTCTTCAGCCTAGACTGGGAATGTCAAACTAAAGTGAAGCAGCTCGCTCAGAGCCCTCTCCCTCCCACCGTGCTCCCTCCCAGGGCAGTGGGCCTGAGCTGAGAGGCATTCTCAGAAGCGCTTCCAAAGCCCTTGCCCTCCACCGGCCTGTACCAGGCTGAGATGGCCTGGGCTGGGACATGACAGGGAAATAGCACAAGAATAGCAGGCACTTTTCTTCCTGTTTGACCTGTGGCTTCCTAACCCCACTCCACGCCCTAACCCTCTGATTTTGCCATAATACCCCATACCTGATAATCCTGATCATCAATCCCAAACCTCTCTCGAAGATTTCGGAACACCATGGGGCAGTACTCCTTAAATTTAAAGCGGCTGGGGAGGTTCTCCCTAGGGAAAAGCAGAGATATGTCTTTGTGAACTGCCCCTTGCTCATCTTAATTCTGACTTAGGAATCCCCCCGAGTGAGGTCCACAGATCGCCTGGATATGAACAGTTTGGATGCTTAAAATGTAGGTTTCTAGGCTCCAGGAATTCTGGAGGTGAATCTGGAAATCTTCATTTTTTTTGAGACTTCATTTTTTTTTACTTTGTCATCCTCAGTAGAGTGCCATGGCATCATAGCTCACAGCAACCTCAAACTTCTGGGCTCAAATGACCCTCTTCCCTGAGCCTCTCAAGTAGCTGGTACTATCACACCTGCCACAACATCTGGCTATTTTTAGAGACAGGGTCTTGCTCTGCTCAGGTTGGTCTCAAACTCCTGAGTTCATTCGATCTACCTACCTCGGCCTCCCTTAGTACTGGGATTGGAGACATGAGCCACCATGCCCAGCCTTGTAAATCTGCATTTTTAAGAAATGTTCCAGGTGATTCTGAGCACATACAGGTTTTAAAATTTTACGTTTCTTGTACTCACTTTGTAAAAATCAATCCAGCTGTATAATTATGATTGTGATTCTTCTATGTGTGTTTTCCTTCAAAAAATTTAGAGGGAAAAACTCTCACCCACTGGCAGTGAGAATGAGGGTAAGCCCCCCACTCACAAGCACTATACTTGATATAGGTGGGCGGCTGCATGTGGACATCTGCTGTTGGGTCAGTATCAGTCAGTATTGGCTAAGACCTTTCTCACCAAACAGCCCCTTTCCTCTGGTGATGTTCCTGTCGAAACATCATGAAGATCCAGGCTTCTATTGGGATGTACAAAGAAGGTGCTTTAGGCTGAAGAGGACCCCTCAGTCAAGTGACTAAGATCCCAAAGCCTTTCTTGCTGGCTGTGAGCACCATTCTCCACCCTCCCCACTCCTTACTTAAGCCACAGACTCCCAGGAAGAATCACCTTAAAATGATGGCTCCTACCAATCCTCCATCTTTACAATGGCCACACTGCTTAAGAACTCCCATTCAGAATATGTCCCAGGATATATTCTACTCAAGGATGATAGACTTTAAGGAAATACAAAGAATGGCTTATCATAAAGGAAGGGGCCTAGTCTGCCTTATTTACCCCATATTCTAGTAAATAGGATTATAGTCTAATGTCTAATAAATAGCACACCAACAGTTATTGAAAGGAAAAAAGGAATAAAGATAAAAGAAAATAAGAGATTGAGGCTCCTCTTTGCCAAGATGTCAAAGTAGTAGAACTTCACCAAGGCCATGGACCCTGAACTAAGAAAATGCTTAATGCCCACCTCTGGAGCCCTGACCTCTGCAACACAACAACCTCCTTTCCTTCCTCTGAGTTTAGGTCTACCTCGCCTTTCACTGGTGGACATTTAGCAGGTAGCAGCTATAAAGACAGACAGCTTCTAGAACAAGATGTTACTACTTATTATGCAGAAGGAGGCCACTAAGGGACATTCTCAAATCGATCTTCTCCTCTAGGGTAATGGTCTGGGGAATGGTAGGGTAATAGAAACCAGCTGGGGAGGTAGTGGGGTCTGTGAGACAGTAGAGGAAGGAACCAGCGGAAGGTAGAACCAGGATTCACATGCAGAAAGGAGAAAAGTGTGAGCAGCAAGCAGTTCCCCGGTGGGATGAAAGAGCAAGGCCTCCAAAGGGCTTAGAACAGGCCCCTCACTATGCCAGATGAGATGACTGCTGGAGTGTCTCCAGTAATGTCTGAGACAACCTTCTGGCACTGGTACAAATCCAAGAAGCCACAACAGACAAAAATGGGAAGAACTACTTAGGCAGTGCCTTTGAGCACCATGCTAAGCCAGTTGTTCATATACCAGAAGGAGAGTAAAGAGCTTGGCGACATCTCAGGCCAGAAACATGCCTGGCAGCTTCCTGTGCCTCAGACTCAGACCAAGAAAGGGCTGCTACTGCAGCCTCAGCTCCTGAGCAGCTCAATTCTACCTGAGCTGGCCCTAGGTGAGTCACCCTGGGCCCAGCCATACACCCTAGGGGACACTGGAAGTAGGCTGATAAAGGAGTGAGAAGACAGGGCAACATGAGGGGAAAGGCACACAGGGAGAGGCACATAATGACTGCATTTCCCCAGCCAGTCTGTCTGTGATCCAGTTGTTGCTGTCACACCCTGCCAGGTGCTGACTTGCCCCCACACTCTCAGGTAGACAACTTACTTATTGAAGAGATGATTGTCCACCTTGATCTTGCTGTAGGCTTTGAAGTCATCAGGCATTAGCATGACAGGGACTGGGACATTGCTCAGTTCATTGATCTGCAAAGTAAGGGCAAAGTGAGATTCTCAGACAGGAGGCCACTTGCCTCAGAAAGAAAATATGCTACCATGTGGATGCCACCATCTTTCTAAAAACATGTCCACAGACTCCCTCCGTATTTTTATTTCTGTTCTTCTCTTCAAATAAGGCCCAGCTTCATCACTCCCTATTTAAATTCTCCCTATCCAATAAGGTCCAGCCCAAAAGGCATCTTCAGCTTTCTAAGATTCTCTAGACCATAAACATTCTTTCCACCTTGGGATTCCTGAAGCATTGTTTGTATCTGTCTTCTGGCCATCTTACAGCTTCTTTTTGTAGTTTATAAACCTTGCGTGCCTGTTACTCTTTTTTTTTTTTTTTTT